CTTCCAGTACCACGCCCAGTCCCGCCCCGGCCCCGCCCCACCCCGCCCCGGCAGCTACACGATCCCGAACTGGCAGACGTAGGGCAGCAGGTCGCGGCAGCGCTTGTCGAACCACATGCCCGCGGCCGCGCCCGACAGCGCGGCGCAGTTCTCGGCCTTGCCGCCGTCGGGCTGCGTGGTGATCTCGGTCTCCCAGTTCTTGTAGGTGATGCGGCCGCCGGTCATGTCCACCCAGACCCCCTCGGTCGCCATGTCGTTGACGCCCAGCCAGATCTCGGCCTCGGTGCCCACGCTCTGGCGCAGGTACTCGTAGAGCGCGTCGTTCTCCGAGCCGGTCTGCGGGGTGCTCAGCGTGCCCCCGCGCGAGATGCAGTCCTCGCTCGCCTCGTGGAAGGTCTTGGCCTGGGCGAAAGCCAGGAAGCACTTCATGTGCACCTTGGTGCCCTTCAGGCAGACTGGGGAGGGGAGGAGGGAGGAGAGAAATGTCACCGCGGGTCCCAGAGGCTACCTCCCATCCACAGCCCTGGGCATTTCATCCGTGCAACCATGCACCTGCCCAGGCTTTCCTAGGCTGCAGTGCGCCCAGCTTCTCCTCTGAGCCCCTCCCTCCCACAGGTGCTGAGCTCAAGGTCAACCTGGTCAACCTGCAGGAGGATCCTACACACCATGCCGGGGCCATCCACGGGAGCCCCCACCCGCCACACTCCCTCTAGCACGTTCCTATGACCCACTGCAAATCGATTAGTAGTAGAACTGCCCAATAGTGTTGACAAGGCTGTACTCTGTGCAGACTGCCACATTCTCCTCTGTGGAGCAGCTGGTGGATCTGAGCTGCCCTTATGCCCCGCCCTCTTTGAGTTGTGGGTCATGCATCATAGATTGTGTGGAAGGACTCATAGCTGACCCTCCAGCTGGTTTCACCCACGGAGGCACATGGTTCAAGGCCACCAGCTGTTCCACGGGAGAAAGATGGGCAGTCTCCTCCCCTCCGATTAACTGCCTCTGAAAACCCGCCAGAGGATCAGCTGTGGCGTGGGTTATGACTCTACGGTACACAACAACAAATCACATGGCCAGAGAATGGCCATCTTACTCCCAAAGAGCAGTTGGCAGTTTTGAACTGCTAGCCCAGCTCCCGACCAGCTAGGTCATCAGAGCCGGGGGCAGCAAGAGGAAACATCTGGGAGTGAGTAAACTCTTCCCAGGGTGGGACTGTGGAGAAGAGATAGGACACCGAAGGTTCTTTCCTTTGAAGAGGGCAGGGACGTGAGTCTGTGTGAATACAGAAAGAAAGGCTGACAGAGTGTATAGAAACTGCACAGTGAGAAGGCTTTTGGGCAGCCAGGTTCCTGAGGACACAAGAAGGCCCACAGAGAAAGCTGTGCTTAGATAGAAGAGGGTGAGCAGGTGGGTATCTGTGGGTGCAGAGAGACTCATTGATTCCCTGGGGTGCCAGGGCCATTTTCTGCTAGAGCAGTGGGGAAAGGAGGCCCTTGCTCCTTCCAGGTACCCATGTGGGACACGGAGGTGGGATAAGGTACCAGATACCACACTGGAGGGTTTGCCATGAAGGATGCTGAGTTAACATGTGCCGAGCACCTGGAGCAGTGCCCAGCATCGGTCGGCTTGGTGTGAGCAGGGTGTCAAGTGGTGTTATCGGGGCTGGGAGTTTGGAGTGTGTAATGGAGGTGATGGTGAAATGAAGGGAGTCTGGTGGAGAGAGAATTAACTGCCCAGGTGGGTTGACCGGTAGTACTGGGCAGGTGGCCAGGCCTCGCTATGCCCAACCACAATGGGATTCCGTCTAGCCTTGATGGGCCGGTTAGTGCAGAACTGAGAAGGCCCGAGCCCAGCTCCCCTGGCACGTGACATGGACTCAAGCAGGCTGTTCTGCTCCTAACCAGTGGAGTGAATGTGGACAAGGCACAGGACAGCCTAGGCCTCGGTTTCTTCATTTTCATGTTGGAGATGACAAATGTTGCCTCGGAATAAGAGGGACAGAAAGCTGCTGATACACAAGGCTGAGGGAAGGGTCTCTGGAAATTCACGCTGCCCTGCCGGGCTTGGGGGGGCTTCTCTCTGGGAAAGTGCAGGCCCTCACCCGTCTGCAGAGCCTGCTGCTCCTTCAGCAGAGCCACCTCCTGGGCCAGGTTGTCCAGCCGCGTCTTGAGCTCCTCAATCACTTTTGGGCTCACAACATCTAGGACGAAGCCAGGGACACAGGGCCATCACAGTGCATGAGGGAGGCAGGAGGGAAAGCAGGGGTGCTGGGAGGCTGCCTGTCAGCCACAAGAGGATGCTGGGAAATGGCTCCCCTCCACATGGATGTCTCGGGGCAGCACAACTGAGGGGAGAGTGGAGGGCCCTGGAGCTCTGGTCACCCAGCCCCTCTGTGGAGACCATGTAGAAACAGGACGGGAGTGGGAGCCAGAGAGGACAGAAGCAGCCTGTGGGCTGACCCTTCCCATCTTTTCCAAGGTCCTTTTTACAGAGGAGACTCAGAGAGGTGCTCCCAACAGCTCCTTGCCTTCTGCTTCCTGCAGTCTCTTGGCCTTGGCCGCCTGTTTCTCTGCCCAAACCCCCACCCTCCTGTGGGGGGTGGGACACTTCATCACCATGGCATTTTGCTAATAATGTTCTCTGCCCAGTCTAGTGACCTCATTGCAGGTGGGGCTGCAGGGACAGCTTCTTGCCAGTAGTCAAGGCAACCCACGGGCAAGATACCTCAGACCCAGAGGCGCCCAAGAGTGAAGCTGTGCAGGATTTATTCGTTTGTACCTTTTCTCTTTGCCAGGCTACATGATATACTACAGAACTGAGCATCTTTCCCCCGTGCACTATGCATCTCCTATATGCCAACCACTGCATCGGGTGCTTTTACATATTTCATACTGTTTGATCCTCACAACAAACCTGTGAGGAAAATGTGAGGCTCAGAGATTACAAAGCACAGCACTCCCTGGCCAGGGTCAAGGTCTCCAGACTGGCAAGCTAAATGAACCCTTTTTAAAAAAATGCAAGGATAGAGGGAGAGCAGATGTCCATTTAAATGACATCAAGATCCCTTCTGATTCTCCCCTGCTGCCTAGAGACCTCCCCGAGGCCCTCTGTTGTGCTTTCTTTGTTCCCTGGACGTGAGGACCAGCAAGAGAGCACAGCCTGTTCCCTGGGACTGGGGACCCCTTTAGCTCAATCTTTACCTTTCTTGGCGTTTGCTGCCTTCTTGGTCTTGGGGGTTGGCAGCTGGGCCACGACCTGGGGCAGGAGGGTTCCGAGGCAGAGGAGCAGGTAGGTGACCCGAAGCTCCATGCTGCTGCACCGTCGGCCAGCTGCTGCTTGCACTGGGCTGGGCAGGGAGCAGTGGTGGCCGCAGCCCGCCTGCACGTCTTAAGGTGGTGGCCACGAGGACCTCTGTCCAGGAAACCCTCCCAGACTTGGCTGCTGACGTGCCAAAAGGGAAAGGGAAGAAGAAAAAAAAAAAGCTTACACAGTCTGCCTCCCCACCCTCCCAGCATCCTAGCCCTGCCTCCCAAAAAGAAGTCTTTCTCAAAACCTTAAGATTCTGAGAAAAACAAGACAGAACCCATAGCTCACAAACCTCAGAGACCAGCCATTCCCATGAGCACAGGCGGGTTGTACCTCCAACCAGCAGAAGGAAGGGGGCGCTGTCACTTTCCTCATTTACAGTGAGGGAAACTGAGTCACACTGAGGCTGAGGGGCTACCTCACTGTGAAGGGACAGCGCCAGCATTTCAACCTAAATTGGGTGGCCCCAGGACACTTGCACTGATGCCCTTTTGCAAGGCACTCAGGGTCTGGCTGCCTGATTGGTTTAGATGGTTTGCCTCAATTGTTTTGTGGCTCCTTTTCTTTATGAGTTTGGTACACTTTGGTTCAAAAATATGAAGTTCCTTTCTTTGACCCCCCTTTCCCTTTCTCAGCAGTCCTGTCCTGAAGCCATGAAGTAGACAGAGGGGAGGACTTTAGTGCTCCAGAGTGGATGTCAGAGACTGGAGGGGAAGAAAAAACTGTCACCATGATGGAGTGGCCTGGAGCCCCTGCCTCCAATTTGTCAGAGAACTGCGGAAAGAGGAAGATGTCCACCCAAGGGGTGTCAGAGCCTAATGAGGTGTTGAGGACACCCATGCAGGAGGGCAGATCCTGGGTGGTGTGCTGGAGCCCACGCAGGGAGAGGAAAGCATGCACACAGGACAGAAACTCAACTTACTGGGAGGGACATGCAGACAAGGAGGCTGAGAATGACTGAACTCAGAGAAGATTAGTGTCACTGAACTGAACCAGTAGTTGAACAGGTGCATGTTCTGCCATGTATGTTCTCAATAATTAAATAATAATAATTTAAAGAAGCTGCAAAGCCACAATGAAGGAAAGAGCTGCCTTAGCTTGAAGGAAGCTGAGGTCATAAACTACTTAAAGCAACCTGTGATTTTGGATTACGTCTTTGTGCTCTCAAAGGAATTACTGAGTCAACGAGGAAGCTCGGTGGGATTGGTGGCAGTGATGTATGTGTCCCTACTAATGTCCTGATTGGGATGAATGGATAATCATTGTGGAAACCTTGTGGCACTATGGCTAAAACGCTCAGATGCTAACTGAACCCAGCAAGGATGGGTGAACCCATCACTCCAAGGATGAAAAGACTTGGCAAATTCTCCCTTAAAGATTTCAGGCCAGGAAACCCTAGGGGCTTGTCATATAGAGTCCCTGTGATTTAGCATCGACCTGACAGCACCCGCTGACAGCACTACGCTTAGGTCCTTGTCTGCGGGACACACACACAGTACTGAGGGCCGTGGGGCAACAGCTTACTGACACGGTTTCAGAGGGAACTGTTCTGTGTACTGAAGTAACTTTTCTGTAATCCAGGCTCTTCGCTGGTTTCTGGGGACCTTGCCCTGTCCCCTCTGCTTTAGGGAGGGATCTGAGTTGCAGACCAGAAAGGGGCTGAGCTGGGGCTCGGTGCTTTGTGGTCCCACCCAGGGTGGAGCAAGGCCGGGAGCATGCGCACAGCCCTTTCACAGCTCGTGCTCCAGGCTTGCGATCTCATCCCAGGACGGCTTTACTGGGCCCTTGGGGCACACAGTTTGGGGTCTGGTAATTACACCGCCTAACAGGGAGGTTCGATTCCTGGAACTCTGGATGGAAAGCAGATGTCAAGAGAAAAATTGCATTTTTTAATTTTTTAAACTCCTTACAAAAATTCTTGATCTTCTTGCCTTGGCCCCACTCTAATGTTTGGTCATGAGGGAATTGGGGGTGAGGGGTGTGCCTTCCAAATCTGAGGCAGCCAGAGGCCATCTCTAAGATAGGCTAGCGGGTAAGGAATTGAGCTGTCAACTCTAAGGCACGCGGTTTGAATCCACCAGTCTCCTCTCATGTGGTTACAGCTCCTGAAAACTTACTGGAGGTCAGCTTTGAGTTGGTTCTGAGCAATGGGTTTGGTTTTTAAAAATTGTATTACTAGTTAATTTACAAAATTGGAATACATTGTTTTTAAGAACAAATTCTTTCCATTTCCCTCCCACTCCCCTCCAGCCCATCAAATTGTACAACCCCATGATTAATCACCCCCTCTCCCTGCACATCCTCATCCCTCTGCGTCTTGAGCCCTAGGATGTTGCAGGACAGAGGGCCCACAGCAGATCTGGTGTCTTGGCCACTAGAAAACTGAGGCCTGCTCGGGGATCTGCCTGAGGTGGAAGCAACCACGTTTCTTTTGTTCCAGGAAGGCAGGCACAGCTGGGACTGCCAGTGCTCATTCAGCCCCTCACTCATCCAGTCGTGTCCAGATCTGAGGGAGGTGTTGTGAGCTCCTTGGGGTGCCCCTCACAGGGCCACCTGGACAGCAATGGGGGTGTGCAGGGCATGGGTGACAGCCAGGACAGGGTGGGGAAGGACAGGAAAGGACAGTAGTCAAGCTGAGGAAGGGCATGAAGGAGTTAAGGAATGGATGTGGGCAATGCCCTTGGCAGAGGGAAGGGCACCTGTATGGACCAGGACAGAGACGCCAGTGGCGCATGGGTAAGGATGCGGTGGGAAGGAGGAATGCTGGCGGTGGGGACAGGACCAGGTTACACTTGGCCATTCTCTTGGGGGCAGGAGGTTGGCCACAGTGAACTAAGGCAGAGGGGGGCTGTGCTCAGACAAACTAGGGGGCCAGCACTTTGACAGCTGAGCTGGGGGGACATTGAGGGATCAGAGATTTATCACCCATGCGGCACTAGCCCCACCGCTCTCCCCCTGCTCCTGAATTGAGTAACAGTAGGTCCTCAAGCAAAGTGGAAGCATGCTCTCATGAGAGGTGGCAGAGCCTGCAAAGTGGGCTCAGAAAGGAGGCTTTGCTCAGAGAGGTTCTATAAAGCAATGAGCAGTAGTTTGCATTTTTTTCTTTTTAGGTTTTGACATGCATGCTCACACATGCACTTGCGTGCGCACACACACACACACTCTCCCCACGGATCTCCTCTGCAGGCACCTGGCGTCCACACATGCTGTTAACATAGCACACGTGGGATTGGAGCTGAGCAGGTGTGTCCCTGGCCCAGGGCCTCCTCAGCTGCAGAACTCTGGCTTGTTCCCCCAAGAGGGTCACCACACCCAAGACACATCAGCAGTTCTGAGAGAAGTCAGCTTGCAGCTTCCAACTTGTAACCATCACCAGCACCTGTAGTACCCTCGGAAGGTCTTTCAATAAACTGTCTTAGCATTCACTGCCCTGCATCATATTTATGTGTTGAAAGTACTATTTTTATTAAATATAAGAAAAATGTGTTACTATTGATGGACCAAAACTGATAGATCATTTTTAACCCAAGTCCATCTTTTACATTGTGTTGTTAGGTGCCATCAAGTTGAGTATGACTCATAGCAACCCTATGAACAAAAGATCTGAAGCCTGTCCTATCTTGTGCCATCCTCACAATTTGCATTTTTAAAAAATATTTTTTAATTTTAATTGTAACCAAAGTTTACTGAAAAGTTGGATTTTCATTTATTCACGGTTGGCATTTTATCTTGCCAGTTTCTAACACACATGAGTTCACTGCAGCAGGCACTCTGTCAATCTATCTTGCTGGAGGTCGTCTTCTCTTTTGCTGTCCCTCCACCTTTCCAAGCATGATATATCCCTTTCCAAGGAATAGCCTCTCCCAGCAACACGCCCAAAGTATGAGAGACAAAGCTTTATCACATCTGCCTCCAAGGAGCACTTTGACTACACCTTCTCCAAGTCATAATTATTCTTTTGGAAGTACATGGGATATTCAGTACTCTTCTCCAACTCAAAGGCATCAGTTCTTCTATCATTCTATTCATTGTCCAGCTCTCAAATGCACTGGACATTCCTTCTATTCATAAAATCAGATTCCATGGGCTTGGTGTACCAATTATTACTCACAGTTACCAATTCAATACTGAGTTTGTTGTTGTTAACGTGTCATCATAGCAACCCTATATACAACAGCTCTGAAGCCTGCCCTGTCCTGAGCCAGTCTCATTAACTCCAACACACCTACCCCATTGCCCTAGTTACTGGATCAAACCATCTCATCTGGCATCTTCCTCTTCTGCACTGTCCTTTCACCCTTCCAAACATGATGTCCTTCTGCAAGGACTGGTCCCTCCTGGCTACATGCTCAAAGTATGTGAGACAGAGCTTCATAATCCTTGCCTCTAAGAAGAAACTTGATTTCACCCTCTCCAACACAGACCTCTGTTCTCTTGGTGGTCCATGGTATGTTCAGTACTCTTCTCCAGCACCACAATTCAAAGGCATTGATTGTTCTTCTGTTTTCTTGAGTTCATGGACATTAAATACCCTGGTCCCTCATCACCAGCTGTCTGCAACCAGACTTAACTCTACATCAGGGTCAATGGCAATTAATTCATAACCTTGATGGTGTCACACTGATTTCAGCACTTAACATTGATGTTCCCCACTCACTAGACCTAGGCTAGTTCAAAGGCCTGTTTATTGGGATGGTCCTGGCCAGCAGTGATGCTGGATTCGTGCTCAGAAGTGACCCTTCCTCCAGTAAATGTCCATTTGCTAACACTCCATCTCAAAGCCCCATTCTTTTAATACCCATTTCCTTGCACAAACAATGATCTGAAACACAGCCCAGGGGCAGAAAAATAAGAGGAAGGGAACTCTGAAGGCACCTTTTCAGTCTTGAAGTGGTTTTTTCCCTCCAAAGCTGTGGGAAGTCTGAGGTAAAACAAAACAAGCTCTGGCCACCCCACCCATGGCAGCCCAAATAATACGAACATTTCTGGCCCAGCCTGAAACCACCCAGCTCTCAGCCTGCACAGATGTTTCCTTTTGG